TTTTCTTCTGTGTTGTTTACAGTGGGCGGTTTGGGGTAACGAGTCGGAGCTTTAGCGCCCCCACCGGACCTGGAGTTAGTTAGAAAACTAAATCTGTCCATTTTGTTCCCTTTTTTGGGGCATATTGCTTTTAATTTAACTATTTTGTTGTAGTATCGTTTGATTAATAATAAAGCATATTTGAGGACCAGGAAAATCGCTATAAAAACATGAATTATTATTAATATAAAGCAGCAATCATTTTTTTAATTAAAAAAACATATATATCACAGTCAAATCCAAATACCATATATTACAGATATTGCTGAATAAAAAAAATATCTTTCCGAAACACGATTATATTCAGCCATCTTACAGAATACCAGACGCTGTCGCACTTGTTTCTGGTTTGTGGACTGAACTTTGTAACTTCAGTCCTGCTGCCAAGACTGCATCACCTTTATCACAGTTTTACTATCCATGTGATAAAGATTTCCAAACTGTCTTCTTCGTCGCTTTTCTTCTGTGTTGTTTACAGTGGGCGGTTTGGGGTAACGAGTCGGAGCTTTAGCGCCCCCACCTGACCTGGAGTTAGTTAGAAAACTAAATCTGTCCATTTTGTTCCCTTTTTTGGGGCATATATGCTTTTAATTTAACTATTTTGTTGTAGTATCGTTTGATTAATAATAAAGCATATTTGAGGACCAGGAAAATCGCTATAAAAACATGAATTATTATTAATATAAAGCAGCAATCATTTTTTTTATTAAAAAAACATATATATCACAGTCAAATCCAAATACCATATATTACAGATATTGCTGAATAAAAAAATATATCTTTCAGCGGTTAGGTAAATGCCTCCAGAAGATGGCAGTAACACCAAGGATGCCAGCTGCCTTTACCTCAAAGTAGAAGAAGAAGAAGCGGCAGTTGTTGGCCATTTCTTCTCTCCACTCTGACTGTCAACACGGAGGAGAAGCAGCCGTCTCCAGGCTGACAGTGTGGAGGAATATGCGCTCTCTTGTGGGACTGCTCGCTGTGGTGGCTGCAGCCAGTGTGTACCTGTACTCTCTGTCCCTGTACCTTCCTGCTGCGCCGCGGAGACCTCCAGCCGCCCACAGACACCACGAGGAGTCCGGGGAGCCCGCTGACAGCTCCGGGGAGCCCAGCAGGTGACGCTTATGTTATCCAGAGATTATAAAGTTCACTAGGTTAAGTTTTTATCTACAAAATGTGCATTTGACTGTAACGTTGATATCACTACTGCTTACATAAGCATGCTCTTATCTCACACACAATCTCATCATGGAAATACTCACTCTATAATATATGTGTGTAGATATGTAGCCTACTGTAAGATATGACATTAAGTAAAGTTTTAAAAAACCATTAATTATTAATATTAGCGTCATTACACAGTTGTAAAACAGTTTATAACCACTTATATACCCAATACAACTGCTAATGGCTGTAAACCTAACTTTAGGCCAATGTGTTAACTTCAGTCCTCTGACTTAGCAGCCAAAACCAATACAGTGTTACCAGTAATTCAGGTTGAACTTGATCAAACAAGCACATATCTGCATTTATAAACTTGTTACCATCAGGTATATGTCAATATTGAAATGTTGTTGATTACCATAATATCCTATTATCTGTCCATGATTCTGAACACTGTCTGTTCCTGGAAGAAGTGCATGATGGGACTAACTTGAGTATGGATGTCATGCAGGTTGAAGTTCCCCTCAGACTTGGAGGAGCTGAGGGAACTGGCTGAGCTCCTGCAGTTTTACAAGACGGAGCACACTGGATATGTCCTGCTGCTCTTCTGTAGTGCATATCTTTACAAGCAGTCCTTTGCCATTCCTGGATCTTCATTTCTGGTAGAGTAAAATGCAGGTGTTCAAACTCAGGTGTTCTCTGTACTGACGCTGGATAACAAGGCAAACCATGGATGTTGATATTTTACGTGTCGGATGTCTTTAAAATGTTTACAACAATTAAGCAAGTCATTGATCTTCGTGGGTGTGAGGTAGTCACGGTATTTGTTGACATGTTTTACAGAAACAATTATTGATTTGAATGCCAATTAGAAAAGAACATGTATGGCAGGTGTGACACAAATTAAGTATGCTATAAGGAAAAATGAAAAAGCTACGTCTCTTCTCCAAACACACACTGCAGAGGATAACAATATCCAGCAAGCTCAAACAATAAAAGGATATCAGACTCTCTTTGTGTGTAGACATTATAAGGCTTTTGTGGCAGTTTTTCTTCCCCAGTATCATTGATTTAATTCCCCAAACGGAGCTTGCAGCACAGAACCACTGTTAGATTAAAGAGTACTTCTCTCCTTTGGCAGGAAGAGATACGCAGTAGATTGTCTTGATGTATATGTCTGTGACGATCATTAAACACTTGTATGATGTGTAATAACTCTGGCCCTCTCCACTTGTCATTATGCAGAATATTTTAGCAGGAGCTATATTTGGACCCTATCAAGGACTGCTGCTTGCCTGTGTGCTCACCACTGTGGGCTCCACCATGTGCTACCTCCTGTCCCAGACCTTTGGAAAGCGCTACATCGCTAACCTCTTCCCTGATAAGGTCTCCATGCTACAGAGGAAGGTACATCTGTGACACCATGTAAACAACTTATTCAAGGCAACAAATATTGATTCAACTCTACTGTATATTCTGATGATAAATGAGTTTTTATGGTAGGCTTTCATTGAGAATATGAAGTTATATATTCCTGCCCCGAATGCTCTGCTCACACATGTTATCATTACATGTATATACATGTGCAAAGTTATACAGGGGGTGATTACAGGTTTTGTTTTGTATTTTTATTCCCCAAAATGTGACAAATGTGATATCAAATTGACACTGAAAATATCTCAACAAGCAACAAGCACACTACTACTCTCCCTATATATCCTAAAATCTCTTTTAAAATCTTATCTTTTCTACCAGGTTGAGGAGAACAAGGACTGTTTGTTATTCTTTCTACTCTTCCTGAGATTCTTTCCAATGACTCCAAACTGGTTTCTGAACATGTCGGCCCCTATTGCCAACATCCCCATCACCTACTTTATCTGCTCAGTCTTCATTGGTAAGAACACAAGGATCACCTTACATGAAAAGAAAAGGACTTCACATTCACCTAAACTCACACTTTGGCTACTTTAATTGTTGTTTGTGTTAGGTGCGTGCTAATTAATACGACTAATCGTCCCTCTGTCAAATCATCAGTTTCAATGGTTTCAACATGTGATTGTGACATTTGCTAAAGGGAAAGTTTACACCCAAACAAAAACAAATATTTGTCCTCATACCTGCAGTGCTATTTATTAATCCAGATTGTTTAGGTGTGTGAGTTATTGGCTGTAAAAATGTCCTCTTTCTCTCGAATACACGGCTTGTGCTCAAAGCCCAAAAAACGAAAGACCTAAAGAACTCCCAGCAACGTCTCTTCCCGGAAATCATGACCCAGTCACTCAAGATAATTCACAGTTGTTGTTGTGAACAGTTTCATACAGAAAGTACTTTATTTTTAAAGAACTGCATGCTTTTGTTCCACGAGTAGATACAATCTTCCTTCTGCAGAGTGATATGGTCGGTGGGTGTAGTTTGAAAGAAGGAATATAGTTCCCACATAAAACTGCTCACAACAAAGTCTTGACTCGATTTACATCACATTTTAAGTATTGAACATTTCTCCCAACCCTCCACATTCATTTGATGTCTAACTACAGTTTTGTTTTTTACCTGCCATCTGTGTCTGCAGGCCTCCTACCGTACAACTTCATCTGTGTGCAGACGGGCGTCATGCTGTCTGAGGTGGCGTCTCTGGACGACTTGTTCTCATGGGGGAGGCTGCTGCAGCTGCTGGCCATCGCCTGCATGGCGCTGCTGCCCGGCGCCCTCATCCGCCGCTTCAGTCAGAACCTCCTCAAACTGGACGTCCCATCACAGAACGGGCTCAACACGGAGAAGAAGGTCCAGTGATTTGTTCTGGGAGTTGTTTTCCCTGGCTCGAAGATTAAATGTATTTAAAGTGATGACTCTTCAGAAACAAACTGCAGACGCAAGTGTAAAGGTTTCTTTTATCTTTTCTGGAGCCACCTAGAGATGCAGAGCTGTAAAAAAATAAGACTGGCACATTGGGATTTGTAGCCAGGTATATTTGTTTAACCAAATGTTTGTTATTCTACAGTATGCCACAACATCATTGGGCACAGTAAATGTATAAAGATATATGAATGTATAGTAATCATAAGGACAAAGGGAAGGGTTTAAAGGGGACTTGGCTTCAATGTAAACAGCTAGTGTTTCAAGTGCCTGTCGTGCAGTGCTGGACTCTGATTTCTACCTCCACAAGTTTGGGAAAACTAATGTAACAGCCTGCTCATGTTGGTTGTAGCTTAATGGCTCAGATGATTGTTATTTGGGTTTGTGTGAATACCTATATTTGTAACTGAAATATGTTTGCAGCATATACTTGAAATTGTATTTTTCTTTTTTGACAATCACATCTTAAGTATAAATTGTAATACAGGGTGTTCAGCAATTTTTACTATTTTTGAACTTTGTTGGAACTCAAAGTTTTTCAAATTGTGTAATTTGGCCTCAGTCTTTGAGGTAACAAAAAACAAAAAAATTAAATGACATGACTGAGTAAATGTCATGATACCCAATCATTACCTGAAAGTAAAGGTGCAGTTAATCCAGGATGTGTTAAATCGATCATTTATATTGCGTCTCTGGCTGCCTCTTCACTGTCCGTATGTCTTTTGTACAGGGCTATTCACACTGCACAGTGTTATCTTAAAACTCTTTCTTTGTGTGGGTTAAGATTTAAAATGTAATGTCAGCTTTCTGTCTCTTCAAAGATGTTAATTATTTTTAAATTGAATGTACAGTTATGGTGTGCTGGATCCCAAACGACATGACACCTATTATTTCAGAGGTAAAAACACTTTGGAATAATAAAACAGTAAATGTGAAAAACAGCATTTTCTTTTTTCAAATATTATTTATTGCTCAGATCCAGGTTGCTCAACAATACAGTTCACTCACAACTCAAAACAACAGCTTGGCTGTTACCAGAAAGGCATGAATCCACGGGATGGATTAAAAATGGATCATATATGTCTGTCTAGCGCACAGTCACCGATTACCTTGAGGTGTCTGGGACCTTTTGGCCCGTGGGAAATGTAGGACTTGAGAGTTGAGACCTACTGAGGGGACAAAAGGAATCTCCCAAATGGTGAAAAGCAGTTAAGAAATGGATCCATGGAAAACCACTACTGAAAGTCTAGTGCTATATAAAGTGTACATACTGGATTGCCTACAACAGTCTCATGCAATGCTTTGTGTTTTCCCATTTAACAACAAGACAAGACAAAAACACTGCTGTGGTTCTGCATACATCAAACCAGACTTTACTAAATCCTTCCTCAGCTAACTATCTTTTTTTGGATGGTTGTTGAATGCCCTATTTTTTTGTTCAGACGCAGAACAAGATTTGATTAGCTTTTTCTTTTTTATCAGACCTGGTTACTCTGTCATCCCTCTTTTTATGCATGTCACAGATTCATTTATTTTTCCATCATGATTCCCAAATCTGTTAAACATTCTAGTTAGGATATTTCAACCGCAATTTAATAACTAGTATAATTGGTAGTGATCTAACAGGAAAGCAAAGAATCCCAATTACTGCTCCGGACTACATCATTAAATCAGTGTAAATGACGAGAAAAAACCAGATCAACAGGAAAAATAAAAGCCTAAACTATCCAACCACCATGTGATATGACTAACAACACAGTACACCCTCAGTGATGTGTGTAATTGTGGTTTTCTGGTACTGAATATTAATGTCTAGCAACACCCCACAAAACCTAGAAACACCAATCCTTGGAAGTACAAATTAAAATGAAAAGGAAACTATTACGTTTTGACAAGATTCCTCCTCAGACAGCGGCCGACCTACAACAACCAAGACGCTGTGCTGAACCCGACACAGTGAAACCGAACCAGCTGGATGGAAACCTGCACTGACTGTGTAAAGAGCCAAAACACAAGCGAGACAGAGATCTGAAGAGTCCTCTGCAACACGAGACGAGCCTTCAATACTGCTCTTAAAAAGCTAGTCCTGCCAAGTTAAACCATGAGTGACAAACTGCAATTTCCAGTGCTACAGCGAAGAGCCGTTCTCTCCATGACATGCCCTACTACAGTGAAGCAGACCACCACAGGAGTCACGTGTTTCGATTTAAAGCACCGTACTGCATTGGTGTGGCTAAGGTCAGGGGGTCATTTGAATCAGGTCTGGTGAGTGATCATCATCAGTATGAGGTACTGTACCGGCTGTGGGGAGGCTTGCTGTTGTTACAGAAAGCCTCAGGCATTGTGTGAGTTCGATAGACCTTTTATTTTTTAGTTCAGCAATGCTAATCTGTGTTTACTGGGACAATGATCCAGCTCATCTGATGACAAAAGCATGCCCTCGGGAAAAAAAATTAATCAGCTCTCAACAGTTAAAAGAACTCCAAAGACAAACACTAACTTTCACTATATCATTCCTTTATTTAATTATTTTTCGCCCTACATCGGTTTTAGTAACTAAAGTCAGCCTTGGATTCTGAGAGGTAATTCTGAAATGTACAGCACATCAAAAAAAAAAAAATCATCTATAGATTGATGAGAAAACCGTTTAGAGGTCAGTTTTGAGGCAAACTGTGACGCTCTAAAACTTCTCCCACCATCTCTCACATCGTAGGTGTAGACTGAAGTGTTATAGAAACAAAAAACGATGCATTAATGTGTGACTCTATTGTACATGTTTACAGATATACAGGTATCTTGTCGTACACAGTGACATTTCAACGACTAGAGTTGTTCTACATTCTACACAGAAGACTAGGGGTTTTACACCAAGTTCAAAGAGTCCCATCAGTGTATTTTTGCAGCTTTGTGTTTTCTTCAAATCAACCCCAGAGTATGTTTTTATCAAATAGAGCTGGTACGATTGAATTGGGTTGTTTAAAAAAATCTTTTTTTTTTATCCACAAGTGAATAAACTTCATTGTTGTTTTTTTTTAAAGTCTAAAAAAAACCTGGAGGTACAGTTGGGAAAAGCAGGAGGTACAGATGGTTCCGCTTTGTTTTCAACTGACTTTTCTTTCCTTTCTTTGATTTCTGTGAAATCAGTACACAACATCCACATTCAGAACCACTTCGGGCAGGTATGTACCCCTTAGATCCTGCTCTTCATTCCTTTCTACAGAAAATGTACTTTGAAATCCTTTTGACGTGTATCATTAAGAGGTTGTATGGCGTCCAGGTAAAGACAGTCCAACAAAGTTGACTACGGTTGACAAAGTTTCACTAGTTGACTGGACCTGAAGAGTTTAGAGATTACTGTAGATCTTTTGTCTTTTTTTCATTAAAAAAGAAAATTAAAAACGCTCAAAATGATCAGTTAACAAGGCATACAAAATGTGGAAAAAGGGGAAATGAAAGATTGGACTGAGGTACCCTGAAGCCTGAGGTAGATCACAATACTGACATGCGCACTGTTCACATCCTGACCAAAGTTATCGATGGTTCACTTAACTGTTCTCCTATTTTTCAGGATTTTTGTTTATATTATTATTCATAGTCTAGTTTTCAAGAAAATAAACACTTCCCTTCAAAATAATATGGCAGTGTCCCACTGAGGAAGAAAAGAAAAGGACTTTGTTTTTCTTTTTGTTTCTTATCAATAGCTCTCATCACAAAATAGGAAAAAAATAGATTCATAAATATTACTCTCTCTTTTTATATATATATACACACACATGCGCACTCGCACACAAACGCACACACACGGAGGAAGCTGTGCGTATTGGCAATAACCTTGCGTCTGGAAGATGAAGCTGATGGGTGATGTCTAAAAGTTGACAAAATAAGGCAACAAGCTTCCATGGTCTCCACAGTAAAGGGACACCAGGAGGACCTGCGTGTCCAGCGCACTCGCAGAGCGGTCGGCTGGCTCGCCAAAAGAAAACAAAAAAGAAAAAGTTAAAAGAAAGAGCGAGGGTGAGAATGACAATCTGTGTGTCTGTGTCTGTGGCCCCGCCTGCTGGACACGGCAGGGGTGATTCTTCTAAAAGGCTGCATATCGTACATTCACAGCTGTCATTCCATTTTAGAAAGCTCCCTGACAAGAGAGGGTTAAAGCCAAACACGGCTGCGGTCACGTTTGCGGTTGTGTGTGTACCACAGGTCATACAGTGCCTCCCAGACCACCCTCTAACCCAACACTTTTTCCTCACTGCCACTTCACGCACCAAAAGTGAGCACCCTCCCTCAAAACAACGTCTACTTTCTTATGTTTGTGTCGGACATCATGACGTCCCAAATAAGGCCGAGTGTGTGGCGCTGCACATTCAAAACGACTGGTCACCTGTAAGCAAATTAACTTTGACCAAATCGTTTTTTTAAGATTTGCTCTGATCGTCCTTTATTAGACAATGTTTAGATTTCTTTTTTAAATATCAGGACAACAAGCATGAATGCTGTTATAGTTACTGTACAGCATGGAAGAATTACATCAGTTTAAAAATTCTTCTGATGCGTTTAACCTCTGTTGAGTGAAAGTGGCAGTTCAATGAGGGCTATGGGGGAAGAAACTGTTCCTTGACAACAAATATGTTTTTAACCTATTAAAAAAACACGCCAGATGAGAGAGAGTGATGAGAAATTAAAGCAGAAATAAGCAGAAAATAAAGAAATAAAAGAAAAAAAGAGTCGAAGCATCAGATATGATTGGTGAGAGACACTTAAAAAGGGACGTTATCTTTTGCGTTGGCACACACACAGGCTTGTTAAAAAGACCCATTCGCCATATTTTCTTACAAGTGTTTTTCTTTTGATTTCAGTGGCCTATACTGTGAACACACAAGGGGAATTGCCTTATGAGGCTGTCAGAGCACAATCAATCTCTGGAACAAGCACAAATATTAGAAACTAAACCAAGTTGTTCTGTCATTTTGATAGGAAAATAACAGTGCGTACTCTCAGTGTGTATCAATATACTTTTCTACTCTGTGTTAATACTGCTAAGGATATTTCATCTTTCAATCTGAATATCTCTAACTCATGTGAGAGTCCATTGTCCCTCGCGCTCGTTCTAACCTAAAATATTTATCACAATGCCTTGTATACGCTTGTGTTAATACATTTGCTTTATCAGTTTGTTAGGCCTATGTTAGTCCAACTAAAGAGATAACGTTATTCAGGGCGACATACTATTTCCTGTTTGGAACTGTGACGACAACAGTTCCAAAATTCTCTGCCATGTCCACGTTCCTTATAGATTTTTTTGGTCTTTTTTTTTGTTCTATTATATCAGTACGGTTTTTTCCCACTCTATCTGCTCTCACAGGGCTGGCAGTGCACACAATGCCCTCAGCCTTTGGCTCTTACTTGTTTCCCCCCTAGTGAAGTTCTTTGGTTTTGATCCTGGTGCTGCTGGTCTGCCCTGCATGTCCCCCTTGGCCGTGGCCTTTGTCTGGGTGGGTCTCTGTCCGTTTGGGAGGGCTACATTCATTGGCTGGCACCCGCCGGAGCCGCCCCGCTGGTCACTTGACGTGGTGCGGTGACACGGCGGTGCCCTGCTGGTGCTTCTGTTCCTGCTGTTTGACCTGCTGAATGATCTCCCGGATCTTCCTCTGTGCAGTCTGTGCGGAGAGACATCACATACAGGACGGGGTGTTAACTGATATGTAACAACACGTACCAGACTGACCTTGGAGATAGGCTTTTAATGAACAGATAACTGTCATGTTCCTATGAACTGCACAGCATCATTGGGGGTAAGTTGACTGTGTGGGTTTGTTTTTTCCTGCAGTTATCAGTATGTAAATTGTATTAATATATGCTTAAATTGTTTAAAGATAATAAGAACTAATAAACTAAAGTAGCAAAGAAAATGACTTCTAGCTGAATTTGAATCCTCATCCATTTACTACGATTCTGACAATGCACCATTCAAAAAATGCTTACAATTTACAACTGTGTATTGTACATGTTAAAGAAGATAATCTGCATTATTGCATAAACATTTCAGAAGACTCAATACAAAAAACTGATGTACCAAGTTAAGCCACCATATTTGACATCAGATCTCTAATCAGCCCAAATAACAAACACATCCTGTGTTCATTTACAGGATCTAAAACTTTGTTATGCGTACCTGGCTGGCAAAGAAATGACCGCTGATTTTCACAAAGACTTCATCGTTCTCGTCTGGGGTTTGGTCCCGCGGCACGATGACCTCAGCACTTGTAAGGTTCTGCAGCTCATTTACCTGGAAAAAAACCTCAAGAGATTTAGTATCTTGCTTTAATTCTCACTTAAAGCCTCACTGACTTACTCAGTAAACTGAAAAATACTGTTTGGTTAAACCAAGCAAACCAGGTGCTATGTATGGCTAATGTAGCTGAAGTTAATGCAATTGTTTTTTCTCCATCCTTGTCTATAATTCAGATCACTTCAAGCAACAACTCACCGTCTTTCCGCCTTTACCGATGACCCTGCCAGCTGCGGTTGAGGGAACCTTGATGTGCGTCTCCAGTTTGACCTCCTCCTTTGCTGAGAAGAAGTTCTCCTCTTTCAGCTTCCCAAATATCCGACCTTGGGCCTGGAATACAGAGGAGGGAATGAGACAAGGAGAGACTGGGAAATGGGGACACACAGTGATCCACTGCTGTTTACTGTAATACACAACAAAATGAATTAAGCATATCAAGTAGCAATTTTGCATACCCATACAGCATGTCATTGTGTGGTTACCTTAAACTGAGCCTCTGCATTTCCAGTAATAGTAACCATCCTCTCACCATCCATCCTACTATCAGGATTCTCAGCTGGAGCAATCTGGAACACACAACACACACACACAGGTTATGGAGATAAATAGAAAAGGTGTTTATTCAGTGCATGTAACCACTGAATTATCATTCAAGAAGTCTGCGTATTCCAACAAATAAATGAGACTATGGTATGAGAATTCATTGAGCATCTGTTCCACTTCTTCAGGCGGCTCGGAGAGGATTTTTTAAAAGCGTAACTCCTTTTTTGACCATTAATAACTAACAACCTGCCAGTGCGGACAAGCAAATTGTTAACTTCACCTTACTGCCCGATGTGAGCCTTCAAACAATGCGATGCATGCTGATCAGAGGTGGTTAGACAACCTTTTTTTACCACCCTTCAAATTGAAGTCAGCGCTCTATTGAGGCTGAAAAACCCACCTTGATAGAAGCTCCAGCGAAGTGGGCGAGTTGTTTGATGTGCTGGCCCTTCTTGCCGATCAAGGCCCCGACTGCCTGAGTTGGAATAAAGAGGTAGACAACCTCCTGTTCTGGAGTCTGTGGGGAAAAATAAGTCACACATAAAGATATATTTCACTCCACTATTACTCAACTTTACTGCTGAATGGGAGAGACATTTAAAAGCTACCAAACAGTCAAATCTGTTAAATTAACTTGTCAGATACTCGAAGAGATGCCTAAAAAAGAAGACACCTCATGCAAGTAAAGGTAAATTGAGCTCTCTTCAAGTCTTTTCTCATTGGGTAAACATCCCACCCTAGTTTGGTCTGAAAGGAATATTTCCTATTAGGGCCGATGGGTGCTCTTTGTTTTAGTTTTCTTAAAGGTCCCATGTCATGCTTTTCCGGTTATTCCCCGTCCCCTTGTGTGTTATGTAGCTTTTTATGCATGTAAACGGTCTGCAGAGTCACAAACCCTCAAAGTACACCCTGTAGCGAGTAAAACTCGAACACAGAAAAGACCTGTCTATGCTGCCCCAGAACGCCTCGTTGGAGATTTTTCTTTTTCCATTTTTTTCTTCCAAATGGACCCATTGGTCCAATCCGTGAAGCTCCTCCCACACACACACTCTCTCTAGGTGCTAGTGGAGCCTCCCCCCCCCCCCTTCCCGCGTCCATTCGCGATGTCTCGCAGACCCCACGCAGCAAGCAGGAAATTAACCCAGCTCACACTGTCCGCTCCTCGCAGCAGCGCCAACACGGCACCATTCTCATCGGTTTGTCATTACTGGTGTCATTTTCTGGTTGCTAACGCCATTGTAACACATACACACTGATGTTCCGCTCTAACGGTGGGGATTTCATCAGAACATAGTGGGCGAGCTGACCAATCAGAGCACAGTGGGCTCACAGGGAGGGGGGGAGGCAGGAGCTCCAACAAGCCATTTAGGACAGAGAGTGAATACATATACTATACAGAGATGCTGTATGAGAAACCAATGTGAGTTTGGAAAATTGCACAATATACATCTATTCTAGTAGACCTCAACAATGGAATTATGATCAGTAGAAATGGCCATGACATGGGACCTTTAAGCATGGCAACACTCATATACTCGAGGTTTATGAAATTATTTTCTTATGAGCCACAGGACAATTCTGCCCTTCCAAACATATTTTCGAAGGGCCTCCAACTGGTGTCTGGGAGATGGTACGCAAAAATGCCAGACTGTCTGTTCATCATAGACGTTGACCGAGAGGTTGTCATGGTTTCTTATTTAAGTATTTCCGTCCATTTGGTGTTGCTTCTTTTTCTTTTTCTTTATACTGTGGCAGCATGTATACCATAAGTAACTTCCTGAGGCTTTTCAAATATTTATTGTGCTCTCAACTTGCTCTCAAATCTTATAAATATTGTTTTAGCATCATAAAATAATAAGAAATTAGTTCTTAGGTCTCAAATCCACAGGGCATAATTGACTAAAGTGCAAAATATAAGAGAACATACTGAGTGCTGGTGGGTGATGGCACTTGCTGGAGGACCCCCGTACAGGCCACTGAGATGTGAAGAGTGACTCTGAAAGAGACAAGCAGACCAATCAGATGGCAAAAAAACACAACTTCACAGACACATGCACACACTCAACTCAAGCTTCTATTAGGGGGAATTTCAGGGGCATAAACTGCCAGTGAATCACTAACTTTCTAGACTATGAAGCACGCAAATACATTCTCGCACAATGTATCACACTACTGTGGCTCGACCTCGTCAGCCAATGAGTGGAGACTTTGTTTTACAGACATCCTGACTCATCTGTGCGGAAGATGGGGGAATTCTGGTTGTTTCAAACTGTATACAATATATTGCAAGAATACCTGAGTCAACACTGTTTTGTTTTCTTAAAAAGCACTTCAGGGGAAAACTGGTTAACCATGTGTTGGAAAAAAATTGCTTTATCAAGTCAAAACTAATCCCTGCAGGAGCTGAGCATTGCTTCACTGGGCGGGTAAAACAACAGCACAACAAATCATTACAAAACAATCATTTTAGATTCTTTTTTTCACCGCCTTTTATGGTTTTGTGAAATAAGAGCATACTCACTAAGAATGGGTTGTATCCTGCTGGAGCCATGTGGGGCACTGCACAGCGGGGTCCGGCAGCAGGGGGTAGCATCGGCAGGCCAGAGGAGAAGATGCCCAGAGCGTTCAGGTTCAAGCCTGGGATCAGGTTGGCCTGTTGCTGGGCAGAACAAGAGAGGAAGATTTTTGCTTAAAGAAAAAAACTACAAAAAATATATACATTAGGCTTTAAATGGGTCTCATCCTTTCATCTTGTATTTTATTTTTAAACCAATTTTCACTGATGTGTTTAAAACATTTTTCTTTAAAAGGAGCAGATCAGATCAAACAGGTTTTAACTTGGACTTGTATGTCTCCAGACAGTAGGGTTATGTTCCCTGCTGCAACAAGAGTCATACTGATACATTTTACAGTAACTCAAGAAGATCTGTCTCCAGTAAGAAAACCTTAAAAAGAAAACTACCTCTAATAGAGTGGCGAAGTCCCTCCATGGGACCTCGAAACAATTATGTATTGAAGTCAATGGAGAGAGAAAGATTATCTTTCGATCCCGTTGGAATTGTGCCACGTATTACACATATGATGTTTGTCAATTTAAAAGATAATTTAGCAAGTCAAAAAAAAACGATTTGTCGTAAAACTGTGAAGTAACACATTTGTTTGTGTGAAACACTCAATAGAGGCTTCTCAATACTCAAATGTCCCCTCCTCGACTCCTCGGTCCTCCGGTAGTGACCCAGAAATGAATTTTGAAGGACTTCTCATTTCTCTAAATGCACTTCGAGGACCGAGCATCGAGCAGGCTCTCTGGAGGAGCTATAACCGAGGATACACTGATGGGTCCTCCACGGCTCCTCCGCGGATGCATTTCCGGGAACGGTGGAGGCGTGACGCACGGCCGGACTTATCTCAGCCAATGACAGCTCTGCATGCATCCCCTGGATATTATTTTAGAAACTGCTTTCATCGCGACCCAATGTTTACAGTGAGAACAGCTGTGAGGTCCGTGCAGAAAGCAGAGCAGTGTGTATAATATATATCACTCAGTATAACAGGCCTACTCTCTTTATTTGCTGTAGTTTAGTAGATAACTACAAACAAAGAGTCGATATTTTTCTAAAACCATTTAGTGCTTCACATAATAAAATACACAACGGCTGTAGCCTATTATATGCTTTAGGAGCTGTAGGTGCGTGTGGTAGGCTACAGTGTGTAGGTGTGTGTGTTGTACAGTGTGTAGGTGTGTGACAGACAGGTCCCAGTTGGTTTGGTGTCCTCTGTTTACTTTTAATACTTGTAAATAAAACTTTTGGCCCGTAATTTATTTCCCTCATTGTAGCGACCAGGGGGGGGGGGGGTATCCAGTCTCTGATAGTGTTACGTTATTATGAGAGTGCTCTGTTTGATTCTGAAATGGTATATATTTATATATATATATATATATGTGTGTGTGTGTGTGTGTGTGTGTGTGTGTGTGTGTGTGTGTGTGTGTGTGTGTGTGTGTGTGTGTGTGTGTGTGTGTGTGTGTGTGTGTGTGTGTGTGTGTGTGTGTGTGTGTGTGTGTGTGTGTGTGTCCGCATCTGTAGCCTGTTATTGTCTCATTATACCGCACTGTGAATTAATTAAAAGTAAATATATAAGTCGTCATGAACACATCTGTCCATCAGACAGAGGGCTGCTGTGCCCCCTGTCATCATTAATGGACGTCTCTTTAAAATGACCGCTCAGAGGAGAGGAGTTCTCATTTCTCTAACCGCCTGCTGCTTCCTCTCCTCTCTCCTCGGCTCCCCTCCTCGACTCCTCCATTCGCATCTCCTGTGGGCGGGACTAAGTCTCGAGGATAGGTCTCGAGGATAGGAGTCGAGGAGGGGAGTCGAGGAGGGGAGTTAGAGAAATGAGAAAGGGCCCAGGTCCTTTCATCAGACGGAAAGCGAAAGAACGAGCAAGACCCATTGCTGGTATGATAACAACCTGGTACTAAGCACACAGGCATCTTGTTAAAGTTATCTTATCTATACACACACACATATATATTATATATAGATTCTATCTATATGCCGCTGATCTTAGCTATCTCGTAGTGGAGGAAAACAATGGTGACATCACTTACGCGACTCTGGGATTTGTAGTCTTTCTAGTTGCGTATTTTTCATAGTCTTATATTTCAACAGTTTTACGACAAACTGTGACTTTTTTTACATGGAAATAATGTTTTAAGATTGACAAACATCATATGTGTAATTCATGGCACAATTCAAACGGGATCGAAAGATAAGTTTTCTCTCTCCATTGACTTCAATACATTATTTTTCCGAAAATCGGTCCCATGGACCGGAAGTGGATGGGCGTGACTTCGCCACTCTATAATAGATAAACATGACATGTTTTGCAAATAATTGTTATACATTAAGTTGTGCATACCATGAACGGAACAAATAATAATTAAATTAAATAAAGAGAAAAAGGAGGATGAATGCCAATTATTTCTTTAAAATAAGTCAAAAGTAAGTTTAATTGATAAATAAACATCAATAATTTCCCAAATGTTTTTTGATTACCAAAAGGGTCCTCCCAAGGTCAATCTGACACAGGAATGAACCTGACTGTTGTTTAGGATGTGTTATATATCCATAGCAGTTAGCAATAATCCAGCAATCTTTAAACTCAAATATAAGTATGTTGGTTATTTTTGATTGTTGACTGATACTAATTTAATATATTCGGGTTTGAATTGTTGGTTGAAAAAAACAAGCCCTCTGAAACAGTCAACATGTGCGCTTCTAAACAGTACAGGCATATTTTTACAATTGTATCAGCTTTGAGCAAATAAATGTTAGAATATAGTGGCATTACATCGCATTACAAGTGTTACTTTTATCTGTGTACTTTGTTTCTGCCCAGTAAACAATATGCATCATTTTAAGAATACATTTATGGATGGAGAAAATGTTCCTACTTCTCAAGCTGAATAAACACTTTAGAGACCAACAGGAAGGCGATAAACGGGGATGTTTGCTGTTTTGATGGCACGACAAAAAATGCAGCCCTCAGGGTTTCATGTCCGTGCAGAGGCACACGGCCTTCTTTCACTTCCTTTTTCCCAGAAAGCTTCATGTAATATCCACAGTGTCACGCTAGATGGCCCTCACCGCTAACTGTAGAGTCGGCACTCAGCTGCCAGCACTGCTCTCACCAGCCTGTACTATTTAATCGCATGCGATGAGGTACTTCTTGATGATTATTTCTTCACCAATATTTAGGTGATAAAAATTAACAACATGGGCAGCTCATGTGAAAGCAGCTAAGATACTGCTGCTCATCATAGAGAGCATCATCACACATCTCTGTATTATAGGGAGTGTGCAGCCTGTGATATCATCTTCACTATCTCTCTTCCTCTGAGGTCAACCTCTCTCGCTGGCTCTGCCCCGTTGATGTCATCCAGGCAGTGTGAAAGAGGAGCTGGGTGAGAGAGCAGCCTACAGATATCAGATAGATGCTGGGAAATGCAGTGTGTTACAGCGGGAACACAGACACACACAGCGGGGAAGTGAGCGTGAGTCAGAGGCTCTATGGAACAGGCACACTCACACACATGTTTGTTAACATGCTGTGCTCAAACACTCACTGATGAGCTATTCAGCAACTGTTTACTGTTATCCATCTACCAAGCACACAACAAAGGGTATTACTAATGCTGGTGGTAACATGCACTGAATGGAAAGCGATATCATCCTACAGTATATCATCACTCCCTCTTCACCTGTCAGTCTGTGTGAGTCAACCTGAGATCATAACCACACACACACACACACACACACACACACACACACACACACACACACACACACACACACACACACACACACACACACACCACACACACACACACACACACACACACACACACACACACACACACACACACACACACACACACACACACACACACACACACACACACACACACACACACACACACACACACACACACACACACACACACACACACACACACACACACACACACACACACACACACACACACACACACACACACACACACACACACACACACACACACACACACACACACACACACACACACACACACACACAGATCGTAGAAGAGGTCTACAGATGGTAACCTTAAGGCTCGGCTTACGTTCATAGCAGCAATGTCGTTCTCGGAGGCTTCTATCAGTTTCTTCAGGATCTCCACCTGGGCTTTACAACAATCATCCAAGGTGCCCTTCACCGTGACGATCCTCTCTAGGTTGTGAATGGTTAAGTCGTGTAACCTGCAGGGGAGATCACACACACATAAATTAGTATATGCAAATATCAGAAAGTGGATATGACTGAGTTAAAGTAGTAGTAGGAGTAATATTTGAACTACCGGTAAACCCCCAAAGAAATACAAACTAACTAGCATTTTATCAGGGGTTATCCACAGGTTGCCAAAATAAGTTTGTATTCAAGTCTATGACAAAATAATCTTCACACTTGAGTCCATTAGTTTATAACATTTCAACATTTCACAATTCAATGGCTGGAGGACTTTCTCAACCGTTTAAGTCTGGAAGAAGCTGCCTCCTTTTATATTTTGATAGGGTAGAATAAATAACAGGTTTTGGGTAACAATAAGGTAATTCCTTGACATAAACCATCTCGGCTGCTCTCCTTTATAAAAAAGAAACCCCACATAAAACAAAAAATGTGAGACTAATAAAGAGAAAACATTTAGAAGAGGGGGAAAAAAGAAAAGAAAATAGTAATAATGAAAGTATATTTGTGTTACTGAGTAAATCATGTACTGGTACTAGACCATGGGCAGCATGCATAAAATAAAATTTACATTGTAACCCCCCCTTTCCCTTATGTTATTGTTGTGTTTTTTAGGTGTGAGAGAACTGTCTTTGTATAGTATAGCTGCCTTTCTTGTTATTTATGTCTTTGAAAATACACAATAAATTCTAAATGATAAAAAATAAAGACCTTTATAAAAATGATCTTAATGATATTGTGTTCTCAATCGTCTTCTTCAAGTCTTCGTTGACACAGCATGATGTCAGATTATGCTCCGAAAAACACTGGGTCCTGCACTTCCCATAATGCAACTCAAAAGGGTTTCAATGTGGCCAATTCACATCATCATCATCATCATCACCACCATCATCATTGCATTTAGAATGATATGACCTTCCCTGTCATAATAAATCATTTGAACACAATTTACACATCAGAAACTTGCAATTTTCTTTTCCAAAGTGAGAGAAACCAGATGACGTCCTGATGAGTGAACTCATCTCTATGTTTACAATCGCTGCAGTGTTAATTTTCAAACTAGTTTGTCCTTGCTTAATATTATTGCAGAAAAAAAACGTTGTACAAGCAGCAATAGTGCCAAAACACTGCAGCCAAAATATTACTCAATTTGTCTAAAATGAACCACAGAAGGTTTTGGATTTAAACTCTTTAGCCCTAACAACTGCATCGATTGATGAATGAATCATATGAGCGATCGTGGACATTTAGATATTCTATCACAAGATGTACCGTTTGCCTCTTTAAAACAAGGTCTCTCTTCTTCTCTCTTCATCTCTCTCATCTCCGTCTCTTTCTCAAGGCTCATTACGTCCACACAGCTCACAGAGACCGAGCGATTCATTAGCCCTAAATGATCAAAGGTTGGCGAGCATGGCCTGCTCAATGGGGGGTAATCACCGCCTTTAATATCATGTACTGGAGTAAAGGAGCTATAAGCAACTCCCTAACAACTCAGATAAGTAAAACCACATGTAGAGCGACTAATGGGAACGGTTGTAGAAAGGTATGGCTCTAGTCTAAGAAGTAAAATCCCAGCAGGTTTTGCGTTTTGGTTCAATTAATAATAGTCCAAAGTGCTCACAAGTAGTTAAATATCCAGTGTGTGATTTCCTGAAGGTGCTAGATTGACGTGGGCGCCAGTGACAGAGGAGAACGGGTGCAACAGGAGAGGTGGCTTACGAGGAGATGGTTATCTTGGTCCCTGTGTCCTCCTCGATCTTCTTCAGGTTTCGACCCTCCTTCCCAATCAGCCGCCCTACGAGGCTGTTGTGGGCGAGGATCTTCAGAGGGATGTCCTCCGTCCTACACACACAAACGCAAACACTCAGGTTAGAGAGAGATAAGAGAAGATACGTTTCCCTGAGTGTCACAAATGTGGTGTGAGGATGTGTGAACATACATGTAAGACAATATATTCAATGATGCGTGTAACATCGCTATATAAAAAAATAGCCAGATTTTTACAGGGAAGAAGATCAGTTCTAAACTCATTTTCTTGAAGAGATTTGGTCCACATGAACTCAGACGTTTCCTGCTGCAAGAACTGTTTAGCATAGTTATAGTAAACAAGGACATCAGCAACAACAACAGCTCAGAAAATACTCCTGGTAATAGAAGGGGAAGAGTAAATCAGAGTATAAACAAACGAGATCAAACGTGCTGGAGTCCCTCAGTGTATAAAACGTAAAATAGCAGATTTTCTACCGGAGTTTCACATTAGTTGACCAGTTTTATTTGCTTTATATTAGTTTTTTTAATGTTCATCATAATATAAATTCCTAATGATTTCCTTGTTTTTAAGCTAGGATGTTCCTCAGGGGGAACAATACAGTTTGTCAGTAGTTATAGTATAGTAGAAGTGTGTTACACTTCCTATTACATTTTTCTAAGGAACTGTTTAGCATCACCTCTTATAGTTAGCACACAGCAGAAGGTATAAATAATAATGTTGCTTTTCAAATACAAAATTAAAAGACTAATATGATCATACAGAAAGCTTGACATTGAGACATGATGCACTTATCATCTTTCGTGTCACAGTGGACATTTGGTATTTTTCCACTTGCTTTTGAGGTAGATGGATACAAAAAAATATTCAGGACAAAAACATAATTTGTGTCCGCTGTGTATTTTTCAGTGAAGTAGAGAGTAAATTGAAATGTATTTTGTGCCGTAAAAATGGATGACTTCATTGAGTTAATTTTCCATTTTATGGCTCCACAAAACCCTGAATTATTCTAGTGCACAGATGGAAAAAATAATGGTTATTTTATTTTGATGTTAGAGTCTCTTATTATGTCTCATTCTGATCACTTTTTTGACATTTTTCTCTCCTTACGCTCAGTAAAATTACAGGGTGTGGTAGGACTGAGGTGACATGTTAATTTATGAAGGAGTGGCACCCAGGCAGCGACAGGTGGAGGCTATTTTGAGAGATGTACTGATTTCACAGATAGGATAAATATTGATCTTAGAGTGAAATTCTCGAGGTGGATAAGGCAGACTGATTTATTGTTACTTCATTACGTCACATCAATATGGCTAAGCAACTAACATAACACAGGAACAAGAGTTTGTTGTCTGTTGCCTTCCAAGAGTTTCTTTTAATTTAAAGAAAAATATTGGTGGCATTTAGAGCTACAGCCCACTCACTAATGCAGGCTGTTGTCGTTCAGTTAAAAAAAACATTTACCTATTTCTTCATTTTCATACTTTAATGAATAGTTAAACATTTGAGGAAATATACTTATTTGCTTCCTTGCAGAGAGAAGATTAGAAAATCGATATCTCTGTGAAATAACTATGAGGCAACAGCTAGAAAAATCTATTTATGCTCAAGAGCCATAATCATCCCTCTCGACATCCTGAACCATTCTCCGGCTCTACGGGAGACCACACTGACTGAAAACATTAGGGACAAGAACAAAACAACAAAGTAAACAGTCTTTGACAAAACCAATTGAAGTGTCATGTCATCTAGGATGTATCTTGCAAGTCTGTGGGAAATGTTTTATATTTAAATGAAGCAAAACTATTTTTCTGTATCCAGCAATGAAGAATCTAGCCCTTATAATTCAAGCAACGCTTACTGAGTGGACGCACCCCATCGACAAACAACACACTTTACAAATAAATACAAATACAAGCTGGGCATTGACACTCAGATCCAGCAGAGCTCAAAGAGTTTAAAGGTGCAGTGTCTTGTTAAAAGTGTCAAGCTCAATTAGACAAGTTGGCCTTGTTTCTTAAATGCTAAGCTGCGGTCACGTGTTTTCCTATGCGAGTGTGTCGTGTGCACTGTGTTAGTGGTCCAAGCGAGAGAATGCACAGTGAGATTAAAAGGTGTGCAGGCAGGTTAAAGGATAAGATTACAGGCCCGCAGATATTGTGGCTTATCTCCCTGTTGGAGTGTATACCTGCCCTGCATAAACAACATCCAAGTGCGTGTATGCATGTTTGTGCATGTCAAGGTGCAGACTCACGTCTTGGTCTCGTTGGCCTCCTTCTGCATGATGTCTAGGATCATGCGACAGGCGGCGGAGCAGCCTTCGGGAGTTGAGTGGATGGTAATGGGCTTTTCTGCTGCCCCTGCATTTTCCTTCCGATGAATGTCCACCCTGAGAGAGGGAGAGACGGACAGAGAGATAAACACAAAGTAGAGAAGGACAAAGAAGTATAAAGTCATAATAACATTTGTCTTGTTGTGCATTACGGACTGAAAGCACACAAATAAAATAATGGTACTTAAAAGAAGACAGCCTTTTAAGATGTTTAGAAGTAAATGTTACAATGGGATGTTGTGTATACAAAAATATTTATATCTCACAGTAAACCCTCCATGAAAAACCTGAGCTTCTCCTTTTCAAAATTGTACAACTTAAAGCATTTACTGTGTGCTATCTTGCATTATATCGCAGACAACTGGTCTTAACAATGCAAGCCTGGGCACAGTGCCACATTGTCTACATTATTATGTCATGTCTACATAACAAAATTAGAGTGTAGCTAAGAAAACAGGAAAGACAAACACAGCAGGAACCAGAGAGGACTACCAGAGTCTGCTCACTTAGACTGGGTCTGTTTGGTGATGTTCTTGATGGTGAGGCCCTCCTTGCCAATGATGGCTCCGACAAACTGAGAAAGCGCGAGCATGCGCAGGGGGAAGTCGTGTTGTCTGGTGCGGGGAGAGCCATAGTCTCCTGAGGGCCCGGGCTGAGAGCCACCCTCCCGGGAGGACCGCCCCCCACGCCGCGTGCGGGGAGCCTGGTCGGGCGGAGCAGCATCCATGTCCACGATATATGACACTTTGAAGGAGTAGTCTTCGAACTGGTGCCCTGTTAACTTCTCAATGGCTCTGTGGGGAGGAACAGGAGGTGGAGGCGAAACAAGTCAAGTATTATATTACAGTAAATGGGTTCAGTGGAATTCCTTATGTGAGATTTCATTTAGAGATGTCTGCTGAGTCTCAGCTGGTTTAACCTCAATTTAGCCTTTTCAAAAAGCTCAGTTTATTGGTAAGAAAGATGTCCGAGTGTGGGAAATGCAGAGGGAAATGTACAGCAGTGGCTCAGTCAGAAGGGGCTTGGACTGTGAGCCGTAGGGTCGCCGGTTCAAGTCCCCGACCAGACCAAAATATGTGTGGACTGCTACTTGGAGAGGTCCCAGTTCACCTCCTGCCCTGCCGTGGTGCCCTTGAGCAAGGCACCGGACACCCCCCTTCCCCCCTCACTCCCATTGGTCCCCGGGCGCTGTACAATAGCTGCCCACTGCTCCTAGTAGTAGACTCCTGGTACTAGGATGGGTTAAAAGCAGAGAACACATTTCACTGTGTGTGCTGTGTGCTCTGCATGTGTGACCATTAAAGAGGGTTTCATCCCTCCCAATTATATTCTATCCTATTGTACAATTAGCAAACATGTGTATTAATGCTTTTTTCTGACAAAAATAGTAACTTTCTTGGATGTGACCATGTTTAATTACACATGTGTACAATTGGAAGTTTGCCAAGGAGGGTATTCCAGTTCCTTACTCTTTTAATCCTTGCAGTACATAAATAGTGGGTGAACTGCTGCTTGTGTTGCTGTTGGAGTGCATACTTGTAGGTAGAAAAAACAGAACTTAATAACTTCAGAGTCATTATTCATGCTGCTTACTCTTTAGCTTCCTCCTTGGTTGCGTATGTAACATTCACCACTGCTGTTTCTGTGTCAGTATTCACTGTGAAAGAAGACAGAAAGACACAAAAAGCAAACATGAGATAAAGTAAATAAATGTAAATAGTTTTGTTGCTGCTGTAGGTGAGTTAGACATGCATCCAGGTTTCTGCGGTGACCCAAAGAGCCACTTGTCTGAGTGAATCCATTACAGCCATCCCCACACGCTGGCCTCCCTCCAGGCTGCGCTGCTGCCTCTACAGACAGCAGCGGCTAAACACAATAGCCCCTCTGCCACTTGCACAATAACAGATTTAACGTTGACATGACAGCCTAAACGAAGCAAGTAATCTGTGATAATGCAGTGCAGATTTGTTGTCCTGCACAGCTGCTCAGAGCAGAGATATCTCTGCCACAGCGACAGGTTTGATTCCCGCTGGGACCCCACATGTTTTGAAAGACTGAACTATGCACTGATATTGATGTCTTTGCTTGTGCTGACTGACAACCAAAGCTGGCTGAAAAAACATCCACAGCAGATGCAAAATAAATAGTAAAACTAATGTTTTAAAATGGGCTTATTTTTAGTGTTGGAAACATATATAGATATCAGATCAGGTCTCTGAGAACAAAGACGTCTAAATCTGCAGACAGCAGGTTTGGAAGAGTTAAACCCAGAGAGAGTGCCCAGCTGGATTAGACAGGGGGAGTGGGCAAGGTCTGGCACGGTGCCCGTCACTCACAGCCAGCTCTGCCCCGCCCGCTGCCCCGCCCGCTGCCACGCTCCGCCACGCGCAGCCGTCACCATGCCACACAAGAACATGGGACGCCTCCAAAACCCTCACCTCGTGACAAGAGCACGCGGCAGAGAGCAGAGGGAAACTGACAGGCAGACAGGAAGTTGGACAGAGACAAAGAAAGCGAATAAGGATCACACACTGCTACTGTGCAACTCTGATGTTCGAGAGCCAGACTGAAGCAGAAAGAAGAGGAGGAAACGCTGCGCTGGGGATGAAATGGGAAGCGTCTGGGAAACTCTGAGTGGAGTAAGTTCTCTTTTAGCACCTGTCATGACTACAGTGGGTGGTAGTTGGCTGCTTTGACGCACAGAGTGTAATTATTTTTGTGTGTGTTTGTTTGTCCCTGTGTGTGCACATTTACTACTTGTGTGTGTAGACGGCGAAACATTAGTCGGGCTGAGTAGCCTGCGCACACACATAAACACACACATACTCCATCAGACAAAAGCCTCACCACAGGCGCCTTCAGTGTCCTCCCTCATTACCACAGTGCACCTCCCCAAAACAGACACACAAGCACGTACAGGCATTAACACACACACACGCACGCGCATGCACACACACACACACACACACACACACACATTACTACTGTAAGTCTGCCATGTCTGCCATGTCTGCCCACTTCAATCCATACTCTGAGGCCCAGGGGAGCTGTGGAAATACACAGTACTTATTATACAGGCGGCACATCATTCTACTCTCCCTGGGTCAGACTTATAAGACACACATGCGCTCAGACAGACAAAAAGATAAACGCTGATTTTTATGCAAAGATGGGTTATGTTTAGATAATGGGTGTGTGGGATGATGGTGACGAGGAAGTCACAAAGGGAGACTTGACTCACTGGGAGGTCTGTGTGTGTGTGTGTGTGTGTGTGTGTGTGTGTGTGTGTGTGTGTGTGTGTGTGTGTGTGTGTGTGTGTGTGTGTGTGTGTGTGTGTGTGTGTGTGTGTGTGTGTGTGTGTGTGTGTGTGTGTGTGTGTGTGTGTGTGTGTGTGGCTAAACAGACACATGTGCATTAAACACTTCGATCCAGATGATGTGCCAAAAAAACAGGGAAGGGAAGAGTTCCTTACCTTGTTCCACATTTTCTACAGTACCATACTGAGCTAGCAGGCCATCCAAAACCTGAGGGAGAAGTGAAAGCAGGTCAACAACACAACTACAGCCACTGTAGTGCAACAACACACATGGATTCTCACACACACACACACACACACACACACACACACACACACACACACACACACACACACACACACACACACACACACACACACACACACACACACACACACACACACACACACACCACACACACACACACACACACACACACACACACACACACACACACACACACACACACACACACACACACACACACACACACACACACACACACACACACACACACACACACACACACACACACACTACACACACACACACACACACACACACACACACACACACACACACACACACACACACACACACACACACACAGCTCCCGGTGCTTATCTGGGCCAATCGGAGCATACTACTAAGTTTACTGCTTATAAGTTAGATGTACAGATGTTTCACCCCTTTATATAACCCTATATGTATATATATATATATATATATATATATATATATATATCCATACCAACACATTGATTTGAGTAATTGATTATATTATTATATTCAATCTACCAGTTTGCTTAAAAAATAAGGGAACAACTCTGATTGGGCAATGTTATAAATAATTTGTCAAACAAACAGACAGAAAGTTGCCTTCCATTAATGTCTGAGAAGTTTTGTGAGTTTTCAAGGAAGCGTGTAGTAGACAACCTGTATTGAAAGCAGTCACCCTGAGAGATGGCATGACGACAGAGACACTCACACAGAAAAACAAGACACTCAGACCCTAGCGAGATTACTGACAGATGTTCAGGCACAAAGTGTCACTCAGACAGTAACAAAAAAGTACATAAAAGCACACATGCACACAAATACTGAAGTCTACAGAGAAATACAGTAAAAAGGGAGTTGAGTCACAGTCTGGAAACTAGTTTATGTACTACCTGGAGCTACAACTGGGCAAACACACACACGCACACACACACACACACACACACGCACACACACACACACACACACACACACACACACACACACACACACACAGACAGACAAAGGACTGACCTCCCACTGTAGATCAGGGGGAATGTTCCGGATCTGGATCTTCCGACTCCTGCAGAGATGAGAGACACAGACGGAGTGGATTTAACAGACCTGAACCACACACTCACACACTTGAGAGTTTACAGTCATCTGTTGTGTGTACAGAAAATCTAAACGTTACACATGAAATATACAATATACACAGTTGAGAAGCAGAGACGTTTAGTGGGAAGAAATGCAGAGTCATAGCCGTACTGTGTGAAATCGTTCAGTGTAATCTTAACTCTTAAACATCTACAACTCTTTAGACAGTTTCATAAAGCACTGTTGTAGCGCTGCTGAGGCAAATGTAGGTGAAGACATTTATTAGACAGCAGCCGGCGCTTCTCAGTAACACCCTCCTACTGGTGCTATTCTTACTACTCACTACAGGACGTGGAAGTGACATAAAGGACGAGAAAAAGAAAGTGTCTGTAATAAGACAACAAGAATGATGGAACATAACTTGATAAAAATGACTATCGGAAAAAGAAACACAGCAAATACTATGAGTTATTGCACATTTCATATTTAAAATCAACAAAGTGATTTTTATTTGAGATGAATCCCAGGAATAGTAGAAATGTTTTTCACCAGGTAGGTGAAAAGTAGAAGTCACAGATGAATTAATTTCATCAATAAAAATAAATTGACCTAGAAAACTTGTGCTGAAATTCTACATGACTTAAGCATAGGCGGATTTTGAGGGGGGGCAGGGGGGGCATTGCCCCCCCTAGTGGCTGAAATATGTTACAGCATTACCACGTCTAAAACTGTTCCAATACAAATATTTCGTCTATCAATATTTTAATAGATGTAATAAAATGATTGTTACAATACAAATCTAAATAATATCATGTTTTGTTTGAAATCATTTCATTTTTGAGCAGTCGCATGTTGTGACGTGTGTGTGTGTGTGACGTGTGAGGTTAAGGACACATTTCCCTCGCTTTTTTTTGCATACAAGTGATTCAGCTATTGTATTACAAGAATTAGCAGTAATGGATATTCGGCGATTACCTAACCCGAAAGACTGTTAAAAAGGACAGCTATCCAAATCTATACAAGATGCTCGTTGGCACTGACTCTACCACCTCTGAGAGAAGTTTTTCTGCAATGAGGAGAATTCGGAACTGGCTGCAGTCAACGATGGGAGGAACAAGATTTTCCTCACTTGCGGTTCTTCACATTGAGGATGACATAACCACACAGCTGTCACCTGAGGGTATAGTGGAGTCGACATATATGCGGAACGTAAAAAAAGGCGTCTACTTCTGCACTAAGGTAGGACACTGGTTAATAATATTGTAGCGTGTTCAAGTAACCAAGGGATATAGTATCAAATAAGATGTGCACAGTTATGATAAGTTTTACAGTTATGTAATGCACTGTTGTTGGGGGGAGAGACCACCCCTTCCATATGAGCATGAGGCATGCATGACGGGACGAGTTATGTTCGTATGTGGAAAAGTCATACAGTGCGGTGAATGCTGGCTTTATTGCTACTGTATCCGTAGCACCCCACGCAATAGTTAGGACTGTGTACTGATGTCAGTAAAAAAGGTTTGCCCCCCCAAGCGCAAATGTCAAACTCCGCCTATGGACTTAAGATGAGGTCACTCCAAATAATCATTTGTCATTAAGAAAGAAAGAAATCCTGTTTCAACAAATAAACAAGATTTCAATGTATTCCTTGAAAAATTACTCTATATATATATATATATATATATATATATATAGAGCTTCCACACAGACTTCCACTCTGCCTGCAGCGAGCGTGTCACTGCAAACAGCACAGCCACACAAACCGCCCGCTGACCACAAGCTGTTAACAACTACATTAACGTGAGAGAGTCCTGCTCCGCAATGAGAGCTGCTGATTTAAAAAGCAGAGAGACTGGTGAGCAAAAAGCCGCACCGCTTAACAACCGTATCCCAAAAAAAATAATTTAAGGACAATTATGGGGCATTACAGGAGCGAGAGTGGAAGACTGAGGTACAGAAATTAAGTGGAGGAGGCAAGCTAATAAAAAGCAATAACAAGAGGTGGATCCAAGTTCAGGAGGATGGGGGGAAAAGCCACACACACACAGCTCATTCTTGCCACCAAAATGTCTTCGTCTAATTTTTGCAACTTTTGCAATTTTTCACAAATAAAGACGCAGGTCAGAATTTCCTGTCAGCAGCGAGGAGAGGACGAGAGGACCGAGCCCACAGCTGGACATGAATGAAAGACTCTTTCTGATTGTGCTGCTGGATTGAAAAAAAAAGAAGAGGAGAAACACAGCATCACAGATTTAGGACCCTCCTCTTCTCTCCTCTACTCATCGATTCACCCATCTCAACTTTAATAAATGAGTAGACTACTAGTACTGATTATTAGGCAAGCAAACCAAAAACAAAAACCTCTTATACAAACATTTGAAAATGTTTTAAATCCGACACCAACTAAAATGTTCCAGGGCAAATTATTTTCTAAATAAAATAACACAACATAACTCTTCTTCTACAGAAGCAAACAAACAGACAGCAAGCCCAGAAAACAGAAACTCTCAATTCCCAGCAAGTCCTACCACAAGGTGGCCTGCAACCTTTCTGTCGCTGACGGTGAGCCTCGATGAAAGATCTCTCTTGGCAACCGTTATCCAAACAAGGGTAAACCGATAAAAAAAACTGCTTGTAGCACCAAAATACATCACCTTTTTAAACGTAGTAAACAACCTCCTGCTGTCCAAAAGCAGCCAATAGCTGAAACTTGTTTTAGGCCAACTCCAAACCTCAAAACAGCCCCAAACGCTGGCATCCCCGAGCAGCCCAAAATGGAAACTAAAAGCTCCTTTCATTCAGCGCAGTCTGCTTCAAAAGCCCGTGGAGTCTCAGGGCCCGGCTCTCTATTGTGTTCCTGCTAATTGATTTGCCATCTGTAACCTTGATGTAATGTTAGGCTAGATGATGCTGTCCTCTGTGCTCTTTAAAGTTAACAAGCTCGCTGTCAGCTGAGCGACCTCCTGCATGACAGATATTAACTTTAGGGTTTCTATATCAATGTTGTCCCACTATCTTTACATCGGTAAGACTTCTTCATCTTCTCTGTAGCTCTGGCCCTACATGTTTTAAAGGCCACTTGCTTGTCTGTCATCCTGAAATATGCAGGGGCAGCTCCCTCAATGGACATCCCTCGGAAAAAGTGACAGTGTCTCCCGACAGTTCTTCAAAGTCTCATTTTCAACATGCCTGTGGCCGCTGGCTAACCATAAGATCGCTGCTTACTGACGCTCTGTCTGTCTACAGGGTTGGGAGAGGCCCTCGCTACATGTCACCCGACAACATCTACAATTGTCTGTCTGCAGTGTTTATTACAAGCACGAGGCATTAACTGTATGTCTTTTTTATTCTATTATATGTGTTGCTGTTTTAATCATTTTGTATTCTATTATATCTCGTTTTATCTCCACTGTAAAGCGTCTTTGAGAACCTGAAAAAGCGCTTGGAAATTAAATGTATTATTATTATTATTATGTCCCTAGGTTATATAGTCCCTCTAAAATCGGGTAAAAACCCAGTAGGTCTCTGCTAATTTCTGTTTGTTTGCATTCAAGGTGAACCCAGCGCCCTTTCTCAATGAGCTGCAGAGATACAGACTGAAGTCAACGGTTACTTAATGTTTGTTGAATGTGACCGAGCTGTCTGCTCTCGGTTTGGAGCGGCCTGCCAGGAGAGAGAAAAAAGAAGAAACCCTCTCAATTTCGGCCTTTAAATATCTGAGGGTGGCCATGTTCATTTGAAAAGCTAATATTTACTGCAGCCACGCCACCTGCATGAGGTAAGAAACCGTGTCTGCTAACACGCGTGCAAACTAACACACACACACACACACACGCATGCAGAGCCGTCGGAGGAATTTTAACCTCTGAGGGGGGAGAAAGAGGGTATTCATCCCTCGCCAGGAGTCTTCCTAAGGCTCTGAGGGCAACCATACAATATAAAAAAAAAAGTCTAACCTTTTTGAATTGTTTTTTTATTCCTTGTGATTTGCATGTACCTTTTCATCAACATTCAAGAAATTTAACAAAAGAGGCCGAGCTGGCGTACTGAGATTAATTCAAAACGTTAAGGAAATAAGGAAGAAACAATCAATGAATTAGTTGATGGACAGAACAAGATTCATTGTTGAGGTCCAAGTTCTAGACAAAAGTGTTGGTTGGAATTAAGAAAACATTGTTGCATTGGGCTCTAGGTTATTTTTCACTTTCAACAAATAAAGAACATAAACAAGCAAAATAATCAGTGAAATATGACTTAAAATAATTGTGAGTTCTTGTTTAATGTTTTAAAGCGTTGCTTTTTAAAGTGTACTAAATGAAAAGTGCAGAATCATTAGCAGCAGATTAAATATGGTACTTAAATTATGTGCCGAGTAAAGTTTAGCCCAACTATGTGATGACACCAGTGCTAGCTTCTTTCACTGAAGAAGACCATGACTTCTTACTAACATATGAATGATGTAGTTGACTTGCTTCAATGGTTGTTAAAAAAGAAAATTCTCTATCCTAACACGTGATATTGGAACATCTGTAACACACCCAATCAGTTTGAAGAGGATATAGCTATTCAATGTGAAGTGTACTTTGGTTTTAAAAAGTCCCTCATGTCAGTAATAAAAAGGCCTGAGCAGGTTTCTCTTCTCTAAACAGAAACTCACAAAAAGTGAAAGATTAAGCAATTGCTTCCACGCTGAAGAATTCTGTGAGATGAGGCCCTGTTTACCTCGCCCTCCCTGCTTTGTGCGGATGCCCATGCTGTCAGAGATCGGCAGTTTACGAGGCGCGCTGTCCTGTGCCCAGCAGGGGGGGGCTTGCCCCCCAAATGGATAAAAAGACATCCTCAATTGCCTTTCAGTCCACCGGCATTGTCCAGAGCACACTGCCTCAAACACTTGGGAACAAAGTCAGCTCTAGAAACCTCACACCTAAATCTACATGGGAAATTCAGTTTTTTTCCATGAAACTCACATTTTCCTTTCTGCTGTGT